GAGGGGGAGGAGGAGGGGGAGGAGGAGTGTGCGGAGTCAGAGCGGAGTCAGATCGACTTCTCCTGGCTGGAGCGCTGCCGCCTCACAGCCTCAAGCCGCTCTGCGATCAGAAGGGCCTGAATGGGTGGGGTGGGGCAACTCGCAACCCCCATAGACGCCTGAGACGGTGAACACGTCCCTACCGGGGCGGTCCGACGCGTTGGCCCCATTGTAACTCGTGCGGTCAAAGCCGTGTACGCTCGTCCAGTTTGCGGGGGACCCGTGGGCAGCAAAGCGCATGCTGGCGTACAGGGCGCGGCGTGAGGGCGGCAGCGCGTCGAGGGCCTCCACTTGACGATATTGATCCCAGTGGCTGTAGCCGTGAACGGCAGAGAGAAGAAGGCCGAGCAGCACAAAATTGGTCGAGGAGTAGTCCTTACTCCATCCCGGAACAAAGTCGAGCTTGCCCATGGCCACCCAGCTCACGTTGAGGAGCTCAGCCGGCGTGAACTCGTGCCGCGGCCTGCGGTACACCTCTGCCCTGAATGCATCCATCGGTGGCTTTGGAAACGGCTTGGCTGTGTCATAATCGGGCACGCCCGAGGACATGGTGGCGAGGTGCCGTGTGGTGATGAAGCGAGCGAGAGGGCCAAAGAGAGCACGCATGCTGCCGAGGCCGAGGCGATCAAGCACGGGGTCAAGCACAGGGGCAACCGGCTTGTCAAGGTCGAGCTGGCCTCGCTCAACCGCACGCAGAATGCCCGCACCAGTCATCATCTTGGCGCAAGAGCCCCAAACGAACTTGGCGTCGTCATCACCGTCGGATGAGACAGCCATGGCTAGGCTGGAACCCTGCACTCCGATCGCGACCTTGCAGCCGTACGATTTAGCGGTTTGTACGCTGATCTCCTTTAGTCGCTCAGGCAGTGACGTATTCGGTGGTGCGTCAGAGGCCCGTCGATGGCTCTCTATTGTTGCAGATCGGATGCTGACTTGCCACGACTCGTCCAGCGCCACCTTGGTGGGGAAGAAGAGCGCACAGGAGCCAATGACCAGCAATGGGCCCGGCATGTTTTAGTCCGAGGCGGGAGGTGAAAAACAACCCTTTTCCTGGCTCACAAGCTAAGATGTTCACGGGCCCTCTCCCGCATGGGGAGCCCCGGGTACTCTTTAGCTGTACTCGTCTAGGCAGGGGTTGGGTGAAAAAACTAATAACACCCGGTCCACAACAAAATTATATACTCCTTGCAGCTTCGGTTCTACACTGCTTCGTTCGGTTCTATCACTTTCAACATCAGACTCACTTTCGGGATTGCCGTCCTCGGATGAGCTCGAAATTGAAACCACGTGACGCGCCATGTGCGATAACGCCCAAAACGATGTCGCGCATGCTCTCCCATGTCCTGGTAAGATGTTTTGACGTAACTGGGTGAACCCACTCCTTCTGCAAGTCGAACCACATCAAACCGAAGAAGGCCGTCAAGGAGCATGCGGGGAAGGAAGGTTTTGATGGTGTAGCTCGACCAGGTACGCCTCACGCACGGCCAAGTCAGCGCAGCCTTTACGGTACACACCAGTCCTTTACTCAGCGGGTCCCGCACTACTACCCACGTCTAGCTAGCGTGTACCAGCATGTCCCTTACGACTGTCAGCTCAAGTCTACACGGCACACCCTGGCGCGCCTCCCATATAGGCATGCAAGGCCCGACTCGCTCCGGGTTCGCGTACAACCCGACGGCAGGCCGCTCCCCAGCCGAAACAGCATGGCAATGGCGATGCGTGCGCCGGTAGGGGGGAGTGTGTGCGCGCGCGTGCGCATTATGGCTGTGTGCGCGTTGTGTGCATTGTGGGGCCCCGCGGCGACAGCCGGGCAGGCCTCTCGCGACGGCCGATGGCGACTGGCCGGCGCTGTCGGCGGGCGAGTTTGCGGCGCACGCGCTGCGCGTAGGCGGCGCGTGGGCGGGTGACCCGCCCGGCCGTCGGTGAGCACCGGACGCGAGGGTCGGTCGGCTCCTAACTCGCTGCATATAGTAGCGATGAGCTCACTATAGCTAGAGCTCACACTAGAGGCCGTCATCGCATTCGCCCTGGGACCCAGCGCTGACTTCTGACTGACTGTCGTTGCCGTCTATCCCTTTCTCGACTGTCTGAGCTTGTGCGTCTTGGGGCCGGGGTTGTGTTTTTGTGTGAACGCTTGTCTGAGCTTGTGCGTCTTGGGGCCGGGGTTGTGTTTTTGCCTCGCCAGACACAAAGACGCAGAGCCGGATTCGCGGACGCGCAGCCGCGCTGCTCGCCGGCATTGACGACGGACGAGCAGCCGGCTGCTCGCCGGCATTGGAAAAGACGCAGAGGGACCCGACCGGCGGGTTTGGCACGTTGCCCACTTGTCATCGTGGTCACACGAGCAGGAGCACCCCTTGCAGCACTCATGACCATACTGTAAAGGGCGACTCCGACAATGGGGAGGGTACCCACCCAGCCGACCCCCGAACGCAATGCGGACGAGGTCGTGTGGCGTTCGCGCTGGTGAAACACCTGCCAAATCGAGCGTGCTGCTTTTGGGCGGACGGCCGTCGCTTTTTAGCCGGGACTAGTGTGGGACCTGCGGCGGTACCCGTCTCTGTTGTTCGGGCAGTGAGAGACGCAGGATCTGCACGCCAAAGTGGGCCACTCATTTGCATTTTGGTTTTGGGTTGTCGGAGATCATCCATCAGCACTCATGTCTCATCAGTCAGTCACGTCAGTCAAAGCAGTTCGTGGTACTCATCAGTCAGTCACGTCAGTCAAAGCAGTTCGTGGCACTCATCAGTCAGTCACGTCAGTCAAAGCAGTTCGTGGCACTCATCAGTCAGTCACGTCAGTCAAAGCAGTTCGTGGCACTCATCAGTCAGTCACGTCAGTCAAAGCAGTTCGTGGCACGTGGAGCAGTCGCTGCATGCAACGGCGCCGCCACACGCTCCGGACGACCCCGACAACCGACACACCACGCACAATGGGAGGCTATCGCGCACGATCGGGCATCGCGCCGCAAACAACTCGCCGCACAGATGGGGGGGGGGCAGAATCCCACACACACCGGAGCAGCACAGACACCTTACACGTCAGCGCTCGCTCGATGTGGCCGGCGCTCTCCCCTCGGTCCTATCTCGCCATTTCAACGGCGGCGTGCGGCCACGCGCCGCGCCGAGCCGGTCTCGGCGGGAGACCTCGGAGCCGCACGCGATGCGGGCATGCGCGATGGCTCCGTTGGCTCCGTGCCTAAGGCAGATCGATTAGGGTGTGAGCTGCGGCAGCCACCGTTTCTGTACCCGCTCGATCACGTGCAGGCCGTCGGAGGCCGCGCTGGATGGCCCAGGGCCGGCGGCGGTGAAGGCGTCCGTCGATGAAGGGATGTCGTCGAGGGAGCCATCGTCCTACGCGCACCGGTCCAGTTGTCGGAGTTCGAGATCGCAGTCGACTTGGAGAGTGTGTTCGGCCCGTTGACGAACTCACGGAATGTGAGCGACTTGGTGCACGCTGGGTCGAGCATCATGACTCGCACCTCATCCTGGGCGAGGAACTCGCCCAGGGACCAGCTGTTGGCGTCGCAGTTTTGATCGAGCTGCATCCACTGCATGGTTTCGTAGTCAAGCGTAAACGCCCAGGAGTTGGTGCCTGGGTGACTTGCTGATGAGAGCGCCTTCCAGGCGGGTAGTCGTGCCCCTCACCTACGGTCATACGGCGGCGTCAGAGGGGGGGAAGGGGCGCGAAGCGTGAACATGGAGGCAAGCAGGTTGGTTTCTGCACCTGGCCAAAGCCGGCGACCTCGAAGTTGTCGTAGCTTGTGCGGATATCGCTGAGCGTGAGAGGGACCGGATCGGCAGCAGCATGGGCGGCCGCGTCAGCGGCCGGAGAGGCCGGAGAGCCATCCGACGGAGGCCGGTCGTGCATCGGCGCGTCAGCCGCAGGGGCCGGGGGGGCGGCGGCATCCATCGCTGCGGGTCGCTGCGGGCCGACGATTGTGGACTGATCGATCGTGGCGGGCGGATTTCGGCTGGGACGTTCTACGGTTAGCGCCCTTGTCGTGCCAGTGTGCTGTGAGAGAGGCTTGTATCTTAAGAATTCTACGGTTAAACCAAGAGCGTCGGCGCGGACACGAGAGACTTGGCTCTGCGCTGCTCGCACGCTGCACTGCACAAAGCTGCGCCCAGCACAATGTCCTGGATGCATTGCTCCACACTGTGCTGGCTGGTGCAGTACTGCCAGGGCGCCGACTGGCGCGCGGCGTGCGCGTCGCCGCGCGTGGCACGGGTGGCTCGAGAGGCGCGGCTGTCGGTCAACCCCGCCGGGCGCCGCTACCATGTTCAAACTCCGCACTTTAATTCGAACTTTCTCGCCTCGGCTCGTGGGGCTCGGGAGTAGTCAAGCAGGTGTGCGGGGTGGGCGGGAGGGGGCCTGGGAGCATTTTTTTGCATTTCCGAGGCGAGCGTGGGCCGTGGTGGGCCCCTCCGGGCCTCTCTCAGCAGCACGGAAAGTAGCGCGCGACAGAGCGCTGTTCTCGGCCCCCTGAGCGTATTGGGACGAGCCAGACTAGCATGCACATCGCCTTGGCACGTAGGACGCACGACTTACCCACGCACACCCCGGTGACAATCTTGGAAATCTCCCGACAATCTCCCCAAATCTCCTCCCGCTCTCGCGAGTAGCGCGGCGCAGCGGGGCGCGTTGATGTCGATGAATGCAGTGTGGACTCCTTTTCGACACTCTCTAGCACCGGTGAACACACAGGCGTTGCTTCCGAGGTGGTAAAAATCTGTGAATGCCCGCCGAAGTTGTCGCGGTTTTCCGACTATCTCGTGCTCGAGCCATGCCGAAAAGAGCGGGCGCAGGCCTGGGACAGCGTCGCAAAAGCGGCCAAGGAGTCCGTCCCGGCTCCAGGCCAGGACCAGATCGCCGCTCGGTACCGCCAGTTTGCGACTCTGTGCCTGCGCAGTCGTCGCTATCTCACGCTTCCGATCTCGTCACAACAGGCGCCCTCGCCGAGTGCAACGTCCTCGCGGCCGCAAAGCCGTGCTGGCTCGCGCAGAGTCGGCGTCGCAAAGAACCTGAGAGCACCGCGGCATGCTACGGTTGGCGACGTCCTCGGCGAGGCCATGGAGCTGCATAGCACGAGCGACGAGGGCCGCCGCGACGGGATCTACAACCAGAGAGAGCACGGACGCCGAGGATCGCTCTCCCGTGCAGCGCCGCAGCGGCTCGTCGGCGGCTCGTCGGCTGCGGCCTCGAACGGAGATCGCATGGAGGTTGACGAGGAACCTCCCTCTCTGAGCAGTGCTCCAGCGGAGCCTGCGCAGCAGCAGCAGCAGCAGCAAGCAAGCGTGCTCACGCTGGTGGCAGACATCGGACGCCTCGAGCTGGAGGAGGTTGGCCACCGTGCCGCCGCTCGCGAAGCGATTACAGCGACAACCGGGACGCAAACATCAGGCGTGCCGACGCCTCGCGAGCTGCGTGCCCAAGCCCGGCTCGACTTGCAAGTCGTAGGGCTGCGCGAGGAGGAGCGGCGGCGGCAGCGGCTGCACGCGGCGGCAACGACGAGGCTCGTTCGAGAACTGGCGCTGAAGTTTTCGAACCCGCTGCGACACTTTGGCGGGGGTGCATTCATTCAGTTGATGATGTGCGAATTCGTCATGCGGCCAGAGGTACAGGGCCGCTCCGGCCGCTCCCTCGGCGTAGCGTTTCGCTCGCAGCTGCTGCTGGTGTACGAGCCCAGCGACGTGCCGACGCTCCCGGGCCTCTACAGCCTCGACGTCTTGCAGGCGTCGCTCAACACTCCGCTGTTGCAGCGGGCC